CCCCTTCCCCCCCCCCTTGTCTTGCATGCAACAGTTTTATGCAATTCAGGACACTTTGGGAAACCCTCCACCACATTTGCCAGTGGGACCTGAAGTCTCCAAGTCAGGCCCTCAGGTGGTACAAATCACATTGACAAGGAGCTCAAAAACATCTTTGTATCTACCTGTCAGTGTTTGTCTGCCTGAACAAAAAGGGCATGTTTAGGAATGAGAGCCTGAGAAGCAGGTCTGACAAGCTCCCTGCGGCTGGCTCCATCATTAACTTTTCCCAGCTACAGGTGTCGTTGCAGCCATTTGATGTTTCCTGGTTATACTCAGACAGCAAAACTCCTTGAGGCAGTCTATCTTTTGCTCAAGGGGGTCAAAGCCACCAACGTTAGAATAACACAAGTGGTTGATAGCAGTTCGTGTCCTTTCCCTCAGCTCTAGTTCCTGTGGCTTTGCAACCTCTAAGTGAGCTGAGTGAGTCTGCAGAAGAGAAGATGGAGGGGGATTGAATAGCAGCCTTCACCTCCCTGCAGGGGGGCTGCAAAAAGGATGGAGCTGGGGTGTATAAGTATGCTACCCAGAAGAAACGGGGTTGCTCTGCTTGGATTTAAGTGAACACCTAGGATTAAGCTGGGGGGGGGGGCGGGTTCCAAAAGCAAATGCATGCAAGAAATGCAAGCTTCATCACTGTGAGGACCTGATCACCTTGAGGTCTCTTCCAACCCTATCAGTCCAAAAGGTCCGGTTGTGTTGTCCCTCATCCCACTGCTTTTCACTTCTCTAACCTGCTTCCTTCTAGTGTCATGGTTATGAATTGTGCCTAATCTTAGAAATCATAAACAACCCAGGCTGGAAAGTAGCTCCAGAGGTCATCTAGTCCAACTCCCTGCCTGAAGAAGGATCATCCCTATCCAAACCATCCCATATAAACCCATCATCTAATCTCTCAGTCAAAGGACCATCCACCCCAATACAGCACAAGAGCTCCCTGCCCTGATAGGTTTGCCTCAGTGTTGTCTGTGTAACTCTTTCATTTCCCTTCCAGTTCCAGTGCTGGGAGGCTGGAAGGTTATCACCAAGGAGTGTTCCTCCTCATGTACAAACTCCACAGCCAACTTATTTGTGTTTAAGAAGAATACTTTGTGTTGCTCGACTGACAAGTGCAACCACAACAGCGTGGGCAGGATGGAAAGCAGCTCCATGGTCATGGCAGTGGGTATTGCAGCCAGTGTCACCTGCTTCTTGCTTACGAGTAGACTGTGAGGAGTGGGGAGGAAGCCTTGGGCCATCGATTGCCCTGGAAGTTCCCCACGATGGCTGGTTTCTAGCAGTCAAGCAGAGCGGCACCACTTTCTCCCCCTGTACGGTTGTACCTGGCTGCTGATGCTTGTCTTACAGATTTCTTTAGCACTGTTAATTAAGAGTAAAAGGGGTGCGTGCGTGTGCGTGCATGTGTGTGTATGTGTGTGTGTGTCGCAATGCTGTTTTTAATACACACCTGCCCTTCCATTAAGTGCATGTCTTTCTCTGTCGCAGTCACCACTTAGCAGACGCATCAACCACTCCATCACTCATATAGCTGAGTGTTTACTGCATGCACTATTTACATTGAACATTTGACACCCCCCTCCCTAATCTGTCTGTGACTGCGGGTGCATTTGCGTTGTATATATTGATCAGCACATCCATCTATTTTTCCATCAAGTGCACGTATATGAGCACATGTATGGCAGGCACCATTAAACAGAAACTTTTGCCCTTCCATCAAGGTGTGTGCATGCCTTTACTGTGGAGCAAACACATCTGCGTACACTGTGGATGCATCCGCACGTTCATTATTACGCTGTAGTTACTGTGCATTAAGTTTAGTAACCAAGTACTAAATCAATGTGTAGTAATCAGTGCTACTGCACAGTAGTGCCAGCACACGGGTTTTTACAGATGCTAACTGTGCAATAGCCTAATACTGCTGTACAGTAGTGTCTTAGCATGGGTTTTGCACAGCATGCTACTGCACAGTGTTATTGCGCAGCTAGTGTCTCATGTAGACGCACCCAGTATGTCCAAGAGCCATACTTTAGTAAACACAAATCCACTATTACAGCTGTCAAGTCATTGCATGTGTGTGGTGATGCTAGCAAAGAAGGAGACATGACTTGTACCTCCCAAAAAGCCCCCGGTCCATGATGAGGGCTCCTAGGTGCTACTGCAGCACAGTAAGTAACAACAGAAAAGGGATATTGGGGTGTGCTGGGTGCTGAGCACCACAATCACAGTCTGGGCTTTTGGGGAGTCTTCTGACCGGATTGCTTGTTAACTCCTTCCCTGCCCCCTTCTCCTCCCCTGAAAGCAGCTTCCTTTAGAGCACTGATTCTTACCCAGGGGAACGCGAGATCCTTACAAGGGTGCATCAAAGTATAGGGAAATGCTTAGACATAATTCACAATATCAACCCAAAGATTTCCAATGGGCATCCAAAGTGCCAAGACCATTCTGCCCTGCCGTGGGCTGGCCGAGTCATTTGCAACAGAACAGCTCCAGCATTTTTTCATCGTTAAAAAACAAATAAATGAAAGTTTTCAAGTGGGGGCTGGAATCTATTGAGGAGGACCTTGAGTCAAAAAATGGGTGAGCATCACCGGGTTGGAGCAATATCAGTTCTGGAGTTGCCCGTGGTGTTCACCCTGCCTGCCACGGCTGTTCTGGCTGTTTGTAGCCCCCTCTGAAAGCACCTCCACTCTCCTCCTCCATTCACTGTTTCCTTTCCCAGCTTCTCCCTGGTTCCTGTCCCCCGTCCAAGAGAGCAGAGCAGCCCCGGGGCTGTGGCCAAGGAGGCGTTTACCTTGGAGCACCTACAGGGCTACACACCAGACGAGGGAGACGTGGAGAAAACAAGCCGCAAAGTGCATGTTTTCCTCCTCAGCTGCTTCATTTCTAAAGCAAACACCCACCCAGTGTGGCAAACCCCCAATGCACACTCAAGTGCCTGATACAATCAGCATAGAGCAAGTGTAAAGAAAGCACTGACCCAAGGAAGACAAAGACGGTTCTTGCGACTGACTCTTCCTCTGGGAGATGTCCCAGTACCTGTCAGGAGCCCATGCATGACCCTTTCTGACCCCATCAAAGATTTGGGATTTCCCTGTCCCCAGCCCGGCTGTGGCCACCATCTCCATCCCTCACATATCTGGAGTCTCTCAGGCCCTTAGGAGCTTCCTGCCTATGGGGTGGCACAGATGGGTGGGATTAGAGGGTCCCATCTTCAAGCTGCATGAGAAGAGCCTGGGGGCAACCTGAGAGAGGCAGGTGAATAAGGACCCAACTGATCTGTGAGATGCCCCACAGAAATGTTTGGAGGTTCGACCCCTAATCTCCATTCACCATTTCCCATAATGCAAAGGAAACACGATGCAGCACAAGTGACAAGGAAACTGCTTCTCCCACCAGGCACAGTTAACCTATGCAACTGACTGTCACTGCACTGCAAGACCTTAGGGAGAGTCGTACCTTGGTAGAGGTAACGAGACTCTCCAGGTACATTAGCCAGGGTTACCAATAGCATTAGGCTCCCCTTCATTATCTTCACTAACGATGGACCCCCAGCCTCCTCTAGAAGCAGTACTGGGTCAGCAGCTGCTCCTTGGGTGCTGCGGCTTTCCCCAGTATCAACACTGAATTTCCCCCAATTCCATGAAGCAGTACTTCCTCTGCTCCTGTAGTCCCACGCTCCTGCCCCCCACCTCACCACTGCCAACAAGGACAAGTGCAAAGTCCTGCACTTAGGAGGGAGCAATCCCATGCTCCGGTGCAGACTGGGGGTGATGGGCTGGGCAGCAGCTCTGCAGAAAAGGACCTGGGGGGACAGGGGACAAGAAACTGGACAGGAGCCAGCAATGTGTCCTTGGTGCCAAGAAGGGTACCAGCATCCTGGGCTGCATTGGTAGGAGCGTTGCTGGCAGATCGAGGCAGCGATTCTTCCCCTCTATTCAGCACTGGGGAGGCCACAACTGGAGTCCTGTGTCCAGCTGTGGGCCCCCCACTGCAGAAAGGATGTGGACACATTGGAGAGAGTCTAGGGGAGGGCAAGAAAATGGTTGTGGGGCTGGGGGACAGGACTGGTGAGGAGAGACTGAGGGACCTGGGCTGATTGAGTCTGCAGAAGAGAAGACCAAGGGGGATTGAGTAGCAGCCTTCACCTCTCTGCAGGAGGGCTGCAAAGAGGATGGAGCTGGACTGTTCTCAGTGGGGGCAGATGACAGGACAAGAAGCAATGGGCTCAAGCTGCAGCGAGGGAAGTTGAGGTTGGATAACCAGGACAAACTTTCTCACGAGAGGGTTAGTAAAGCACCGGAACAGGTTATCCAGAGAGGTGTTGGGGTCTCCATCCTTGGAGGTCTTTAAGACCCGGGTAAACAAAGCCCTTGGCTGGGATGATGTAGTTGGGGCTGGTCCTGCTTGGAGCAGGGGGTTGGACTAGATGTGACCTCCCGAGGTCCCGTCCAACCCTTGTTTTCTATTATTCTGAGTCTGTGGTTCTATGTTTTATTTTGTTTTTCCTTCAATCTTAAACTAAATAATGCAGATTGTGGACTCTCCATCCTCAGAGGTTTATAAGAGTGAGTTTGACAACGCCTTGGCTGGGAGGGTGTAGTTGGGGCTGGCCCTGCTCTGAGCAGGGGGTTGGAGTGGACGTGACCTCCCAAGGTCCCTTCACACCCTCCTTTTCTCTGATTCTGTGATAAATGCTTAGTGATGAGTATTGGCTTCTGGTTAAAAACAACCAACCAGGGGAAGTTTCCTTGGAAGTGTAATGCCACCTAGTTTCTAGACCATCCCTTTGAATGTCCCCCAGGTGCCATGGGAGCTATGCCAGTAAAAGCAAAGTGGGGATCAAGTCTGCTGCTTCATGGCAGCTGGCCCAGGACTTTAGAGCCGGCCAAGATACGGGGGGACTTGGATTCTCTCTCTTGCCCTAGCAAGGTGCCATGGCACCCTGGGATGCCTTGAGATCCTTTCAAGGGTGTCACAGGACGCTACACAATGTTAGCACTGTTAGGTGTGCAAACATGACTGAAAAGATAAACCCAGAGGTTTCAAACAGGAATCCAGAGCGTTAAAAACACCCTGACCTGGTGCAGCCTTTGCTGAGCTCTTTGCAACGGAAGAATTGCTCTAGTATATTTATATAGTTAAAAAATGAGTGAAAACAAAGAACTGGGATTTACTGAGAGGTGTCTCGAGTCTCTCATGGGGTGCCTAAAGTCTAAAAAAGGTTGAGAGCTGCTGCTCTACTATCAGCTGGGGACAAGTCATTTGAGTCAGAGTCCAGTCCACCTATTAGATAGATGAGTGGACTTAGGTACCTAAGTATGTTCCTATTCCACCCTGTGTGAGTCCCTGGAAAGCAGCTAATGCAAAATATGGGCGGGTTCTCCTCCACCTTGCTTCTTCTTTGTGACTCAGCCTTAAGGATCAGATGATGGCGTGTTACCAAAGCAGATGCATTCATGGATTTTTTTAGATATGAACAGCATGAAATAGAGGCACCTATATCCATCTAGATGACTGGGGAGAAACCTGACCTCTCGTCCCTCCGTGTCTGAGGTTGCCACCCTCACAATGCATTTCTGCATCTGTGTCAGGTTCAAATCATTGCAAAGTGCTCAGATGCTGCCCTCATTCAGCACCCCAGATAAGGAGCCTCAGCTGGAAGGCAAGCACAGCTGTTGTAATAGTGCAGCTAGAAGGAAACCCCTCATTGCTCACACCTGCTGAGGCATGCGATCTTTTGTGGTTGCATCAGGCAGCTACTAACCCCTTCCTGGGTGCGTGCACACATCTGCCAATACTCCCCAATCCTGGCACATAGCACCCCAACAATGTTTCCAGCCCTGGGCTCACATTGACATCTCACTGCTGTCTTCCCCTCAGGTTTTCCAGTCTTGGCCTCCCCTGTGCAACTACCCCATAAGTTTCTGCTGATTTTAAGAAACCTTTGGGTAAATCTATGCTGAGAAGCAGGTGCATGTCCAAGCTCAGGATCATGCCTCTACCACCCAGCTATCAGCACTGACAATCCTGATCCCCATATCTAGGGGTGAACACAGCCCAGGGCCAGCCAGTTCTGCTTGTTTTCCAGCTATGTAAACACTTCAGCCACCACCCACCTCCATGCATGACTAATTAGCAATATAGTTGAAGTCTGACTGCATGCCACAGGGTGCACAGCAAGGAAGTCTTCCAGCTTGTTCAACAATTTCCTGGACAAACATCTTCCAGTCATTCTTCACCCTTTGACTTTGACAGAAGCTGAACTGGGCAGTTTTTGGTTGGGTGTTCCACCTTTCATTATCTGCAATGCGGTCCACAGCTCTGCTGTAGCAACCAGGCACTCTTAATGTACTGGAGCACAGATGAATTGGTCAGTGCCTGTAATAGGGTGAGCTGGCCCTTTAAGAGGGAACAGAGATCCCAGTTGTAGAAGCCCAGATGTTATGGGGTGAGGGGGTACCCCAGGAGCAGTTGAAACCCAAGAGGAGAGAGCAGAGAGTAGTGAGCTGGCAGGGAAGGAGCAGATTGCAGACAGGAGGTGGAGGGGAAACTCAGATAAGCTCGCTAGGAGGAAGGGGCCGTGGTACCAAGACGATACTGAGCCACAGCTAAAGGACCTTTTCCTACTGCCTGGAGAAGGGCAAAAGGTTTGGTTGCTAGTTTGTGCCTTTGCTGGTGCA